AAATTATTACATGGTAATAACTTAAATAAAATCAAATATTACATAGTTGAATTATTAGAATTAGAAAAATCAATCCATAATAAAGACCTTTAATAAATACTTTCTTTTCCATTAAAGCACTTAACAAAAACAAAGCTGGTTCTGCCTTAACTACCACTCACAATTAGAAAACATAAACTTGCAGAAAGCTTGTCTTAATATTATTTCTAACAGAAGCAACTGTCATTATTTAGGTAAACATTGGGGAAGATGTCATGGATAATCTTAAATCATGGCGAAAACAAAACTAAATCAAAGTGGGTACCAAAAGGAATGTAAACTTACTAGGTAAAAATCACATTCAATATCCAAGAATAAAACTACCACCCTACAACATTATCCAAAAATAGAAAAATAATGCAAAGATTTTACACCATAAAAACTACGTTAGGGAAGACAGGAGAAGATAAGCATATGGGTGAGAAGGAAGAGGGACATTCTCAGGTTATGGTAGGCAAGCTATGGTACTTACTGAATACTACTTAGTGCCAAACAAGAAATGTCTCAAAGGCAGCAGAGGAAAGTAGTTAAGAACACAGGATTGGCCGGGCGCGGTGGCTCAAGCCTGTAATCCCAGCACTTTGGGAGGCCGAGGCGGGTGGATCACGAGGTCAAGAGATCGAGACCATCCTGGTCAACATGGTGAAACCCCGTCTCTACTAAAAATACAAAAAATTAGCTGGGCATGGTGGTGCGTGCCTGTAATCCCAGCTATTCAGGAGGCTGAGGCAGGAGAATTGCCTGAACCCAGGAGACAGAGGTTGCGGTGAGCCGAGATCGCGCCATTGCACTCCAGCCTGGGTAACAAGAGTGAGACTCCGTCTCAAAAAAAAAAAAAAAAAAAAAAAAACACAGGATTGGCAATGAGACTCCCATGGTTCAAACACGGGCTCTGACACTTACCAGCTGTATAATCTTAAGCAAGTTCTTTATCTCTCTCTGTCTCAATTTCCTCATTTGTAAAATGGGAATACTACTACTATGTATTCCAGTTTGTTACGAAGATTATGTCAATTGGTACACAGTAAGTGCTGTATGTGTCTGTTAAGTGAATATATAAGGATATGTATATATTTCTTTGACTTTGTAAAATTTTAGTATTTTGCATAAATTACCATTAATTTTATATAGGCAATGTGAAAACCGGGGCAGATTAACCAACATACATTGACTACACTTTGATGAAGAACAAAAAATCGTTTTATACCTCTACTTTGGATGCCAAAAACACACATGTAGGAGCCATTAATACAGGATCTATACTTTTCAGAGAATACCTAAAATATGATAAAGCAAAGTTAATTATCATTCATATAGAAAGCACACTGGGAAAAAAAATCAAGATAACTCTATGGCAGACACATGATTCATTTACACTGTGCTAAGGTTCATCCATATTAGATAAGAGTTCAAATAAATAAAATAAAAATAATCCTACCTGGCATAGAATCTCTTGAAATATACCGTAGCAGTGGCAATAACTTGTTGTCTTAATTTAAGATGTTCACCTAATGCTTGGATAACTAAAGGGAAAATAATGATATTTTAAATGTATCTTCTGGGATCATTATAATATTAACATTGAACAGTAACTTCCATGTGGTTATATCATAATTATATTAATTTTTAACAAAGGAAAACACATATGCATGCTCTATATGAGCCACAGTGGTCTAGTACGAGGATTTGTAAATGTGTTAAGAAATATATAGGAATGCATCAACAACAAAATAGAAATTGCCCCACAGCAAAAAATTATTCATGCATTAAGGAAGTTGAATAAGTATTTCCCCTCTATCTTCTAAATATTTTTAATGCCTTTCATATTATCTTTATAATAAATATAAAAAGAAAATATTAGATGCCTATGAAACTTGTTAATACTACCACTTTTTTTGTTGTTTTGAGACAGATCTCATTCTGTTGCCCAGGCTGGAGTGCAGTGGTATGATCTTGGCTCACTTCAACCTCTACCTCCCGGGTTCAAGTGACTCTTGTGCCTCACCATGCCCAGCTAATTTTTGTATTTTTAGTAGAGAGGGGGTTTTACTATGTTGGCCAGGGTGGTCTTGTATCTCCTGGCCTCAAGTGGTCTGTCCACCTCTGACTCCCGAAGTGTTAAGATTACAGGTGTGAGCCACCACACCCAGCTAATACTACCACTTTATACAGTTCACCAAGAAAAAAAAATATCCATAATAAATCCTCAAAACAACAGAGAAATAAGTTTACAAAACAGTGAAATGAAAGTTAAAAAAAATTGTGACAGACTTACTACAAAGCGGAGTAAAGACCTATCCCTAAATCTTCTTCCCTTCAAAACAAAGTTCTAAGATAGAAGTGACCACTATAGGATGTCAATCCAAAGACTCATTTATCCTCAAAGTACTTTGCTTTAGCCAATCTTGAACTGTGTCTAATAATTATTATAAAGTCTTAGGGAGATTAGGTAATACTTTCAAATTGTCTTGAGTGCCTGTGACATGTAAAATTCACACACAAAAAATCTTTATTTGGATCACTAAAAAGAAAGATAAATGAATGTGTTGTAAAAAAAAAAAAACATGTATAAATAAAAATGTTAGGTATGGACTAAAATAGCTCACAAATTATCACACAAAAACATTTTAATTCAGAGGTAATCAACTATAACATTTCAACCAATTTCTTAAAAAATTTACCATTTGTAAAAAATATTTGTAACTTCCAATATTCTTCTTCCGAGAGAAACTTTAAATCCTTTTGGCGCTCCTTCAACAGATCTTGTTTATCCAAAATCCATTGCAAACTAGAAAAGACATGTCATAGAAAATCAATAAGCAAAGTCAGAGAAAACACTCCGATTGAACAGGTTGTTCATATTGTGAGAAGCACAATGTGCAAAAAGTAACCTTAAAGTCAATTATGTGAATAATATCTCACTAATAAATGTAAATATATACTGAAAAAAATTCTGCTCTAATCTTTTCCTTCTTCCTCCTTAGTCTTTCTGTTACAAGCTTATATTTCATTGATTCTATGACTCTGATATCAAAACATGTCTTACAATCTGTGATGCCTTTGTGTTGTAATTGGCAGCATGTTTTTTTGTTTGTTTGTTTTTGAACAGAGTTTCACTCTTTTTGCACAGAGTTTCGCTCTTTTTGCCCAGGCAGGAGTGTGATAGCATGATCACCACTCACCGCAACCTCTGTCTCCTGGGTTCAAGTGATTCTCCTGCCTCAGCCTCCCGAGTAGCTGAGATTACAGGCGTGCACCACCAAGCCCAGCTATTTTTGTATTTTTTAGTAGAGATGGGGTTTCTCTATGTTGGTTAGGCTAGTCTCAAATTCCCAACCTCAGGGGATCCACCCGCCTCAGCCTCCCAGGGATTACAAACGTGAGCCACCATGCCCGGCTTGGCAGCATGTTTATTCTTTCTTAGTGATATAAGATAATAGTAGAATTATTTGGCACCAATTGATGGTGGCTTAGGTTTAAAGTATATAGTTTTTCAGCTGTTCATGAGTAACTATGGCATTTAATTTCCTTATTTTACAAATCTAATTATATTAAAAACTGCCTCAGAATGTGTTACACTGACAGCCTCCTCCTCTTGCCTAGTCAAGTGTACTATTTTTAACTGGAGATATGAAATTGACATGACTCAAAGAAAAAACTATGCTGAACCTTTGTTTGTCATTGAATATGTATTGGAAATCTTATGTCAAGGAACTTGTTATTCAGCATTCTTTTACATAACTTTATGGATGGATCATTTAGCCAATCTCTACTGATGGAAATATAGGTTATCATTTTTTCTGTTACAAATAATATTTTAATGAATATCTTTGTAATTTTCCTTGCACATTTGATTAATAATATATTTGAAATAACTTCCCAGAAGTAGGATTAATGGGTCGGTGTTGCTGGTAACTTATTGATACACATTGTCAGTTTACCCCCCAAAAACATTATACTGATTTCCACTTCTATTAACAGTTCATGAGTGAATCCTAAAATATTTAATCCTATGGGTTACTGCCACTTTTAAATACTTTATAACTTAAAGGCAAAGTAGTATATCACTGTTTCTTTCCCCTGTAGTTTACTTTTGAGGTTAAACATCTTTTCCATATCTTCACTGGTCAAATGCAGTTCTTCTTTTATACAATGTTAATTCTAATATGACCATTTTTCTAATGTGATTACTTATTTTTTTAATGATTAAGAGTCTTCTGATATAAAATTTGTATAGTATGGATAAGTCATTTCTTGTCAAATAAATGCAAAATTTCTCCCAAGTTTAAATATCTCTCAGTATTTAATTATTTGTAATAAAGAAAGCTGAATTACTTACTTAAATCTACCTATCTTTTACTTTCATGTTTGTCAGGCATAGAAAGTCCTTGCCTGATTCAAAAATGATAAAAAACTATTCACTCATGTTTTCTAATACCCTTAAGGGCTTTTTTCCTTCAATTTATATGATCCATCTGGAATTTTGGTACACAGTATAAAGTAAGGATCCAGCTAAACTTTTTGTCAAATGCTTATCCAAATGTGCTAAGGTATTTCCTAATTTATAGTTCTATCATTATATATAATTTCCTATTTTTGTTTTTCTTGTTCATATGCTGTGCTATTTTAAAACACAGAAAATTAAGTAAGTAATTGCTGGTATGAAAAATACTCCCTTGCTACTATTCTTCTGAAAATTTCTGACTATCCTATTGCAATTGTTATTCTGAGACCTAAACTTTAGAAGCATTATGTCAAGTCCTAACAAAGAATATCTATTCAAATTTTGTGACTGAATTTATATTTAAAGATCAACATAGGGAGAAATGACATCTTAACGAGAATTCAAACTCTATTAAAATCTCCACGTGCCACGATGGACTTTTAAAGTTTTCTTCCTACAGCTTCCATATATTTCTTTATATTTTTCCCTTTGTATTTTATATTTTCTGTTGCTAATGTAAATTATACTTTCCTATCATTCTTTTTTTTTTTTTTTTAACCAAGTCCCAATCGTTGATAGACCAGGACCTATCATTCATTTTTAAAAAGCTTTTATTTTTGCATTTTGTAACTGGTCACCTTATTAAACATTTATTATTTTGAATAACTTTTCAATTAACTGAGTTTTCTCATAAATTTTATTTCCACATACTGATAATTTTGTCATTCTTTCTATATCTCATTTGTATCAATTGTATTGACTAGTATATTGGAAAAATCTTAAACAGGCACCCTAATTATCCCAATGTTTCACCACTGCTGATGCTTTCACATGTTTTTCAAGTTAAGGAAGCATCCTATTTCTGTTTTAGTAAGAGCTTTAGTCAAGGATAAATGTTGAACACTATTAGTTTTTTAATGCCTTCACTGTTTAATAGATTTCTTAATACTGACTATATTTCTATAATAAAATCCACTGTCATGTTTTATAATTTCAATGTAACATTAGACTGCATTTGGTAATAATTCATGTACAATGTTGACATCAATATTAAAAAGTGAAACTGTTTTTAGTGTTCCCTTTGCTAGATTTTTCTCTAAGTGTTTTCATGGCTTCATAAAGAGGATTAGAAAGCCTTTCTTCTTTCTGTATGAAATGGAACACTTTCAAAAGGAGAGGCTCCTGAAAGATGGAAAGTATTTACCCATGAAATAAGGCATAGATCTTGGGTAATATTCTTAACTTGCTGTGACTTTCAAATTTAAAGTCCTGAAGATAACCCAGAAGTACCCCTGGGTTTATTTACTTTTCTCTACTAAAAATAAAAAAAATTAGCTGGGGGTGGTGGCAGGAGCCTGTAGTCCCAGCTACTCAGGAGGCTGAGGCAGGAGAATCGCTAAAACCTGGGAGGTGGAGGTTGCAGTGAGATGATGAGACTGCACCACTGCACTCCAGCCTGGGGGACACAGTGAAACTCCGTCTCAAAAAAAATTTTTTTTTCCTTTTAATAGGTTAGCATCAGTGTTATCTATTTTAAGTCCTTCTTTCTGTTTCTTTAGGTTTATTTCATGTTTCCTTTTTAATATTCTTAAATAGAATATTTCTATTATCTCTCAGTTATTCAGGATATTGATTTTCTAATATATTCAGCTTTGGTTACATTCCATATATAATATTATGATGTTATTTTCTAGATATTAAGTAACTCTATTTTCAGTTTCCTTTTTCACACAATAAAGTATTCACAGTTAGTTTTTAATTTTGTTACCTGTTCATTAATGCATTCAATCAACCAGCAAAGACTTAGTGCTCTTCTAGCTCATTTTGGTCAAACTGTGTTTTGTTCTACTTCAACTACATTGTGATTTGCTAATTAATTTTACCTCGAGTCATTTTATGTTTTTAAATAGGTAAATTTCACAAATATTTTAAGAGTTTTCCTCACAGAACTTTGTATGGAGGATAAACTAAAAAGATTTATAAATACTGCATTTCATCAAATTTAAGATTACATCTAGAATTCATCATTATTTCATATGCTATAAAAGAAATTGCCATGCTGATTTTAAAGATGTTAAACTGTGAAAATGTGCATTTTAAAAACACGAAACACAGTGTATTTAACGTCAAGTGCCTTCTTTCACCAAATTCACCTAAGACAATGGCCTTTCATAATCTTTTCATTTGTTTCTCCAGAATTGTCTTGTTTTTCATACTTGTTACCTTTTCTAGATGAGGAACTCCATGACTGCTCAAGGGATTTGAGCAAGGCAAAGTTTCATTTGTTTTTCCAGAATTGTCTTGTTTTTCATACTTGTTACCTTTTCTAGATGAGGAACTCCATGACTGCTCAAGGGATTTGAGCAAGGCAAAGTGGTCCCTTCCTTTAGGACTATTTGAATTGGGAGAAAACAGCTTTAAAGAAGTATACTTAACTTTATAATAATTTTATATTTGAAAAGTGAAAAAAGTTTTTACAATGCTACGAATAAATGAAAGCACAATGAGAACACTTATTGAAAAAAGGCAGGATCTTTTTTTAAGTTGAAAAACTGACAAATCAACGTCAGCTACTTGTCAATTCTCTCAGCTTCTTCCTTAGTTTATCAGAATATCTCTTCTCCACTACCTAAACAATTTTTTCAGGAGCTCTAACTCCAATACCTAAACTTTAGATACTTTAATTTTGTCCAATATTTCAGCGTGTGAAAACAATGCATTAGAGACACATACACAATCAGTGGTAAATCTTCTTTAACATGTCATCTCCACTTTATAGCAAGAGGAAAAACTGCTTTTCCTTAAAAAGGTTACCGAGCTCATGGTTTCCTTTTTTCTCCTTGCAAAGGGCTAAAACATGAACATCAGGAACAGATCCTATTCACAGAATCGAAATGTAAATTACTTACTAATGCTTTCTTAGTATCAAAAATTATACTAAGATATCTTCTTTGTCAAGTTCTGTTCATCTTTCAACTATACCCAATTGGCCCCATCATGCACCTTCCTGCCTGCTTAAACAAATGTATTTATGCATAAGTGTTTTTAATATTATTCTAGCTCTCACACAGCCACTGACAGAAACAAGAACTTATTCTTGAAAAAGGTTAAGGAAATAGGTAAACAAATCACTGGAAAATAGGTCTTTAAAACAAAATATAAGGCACAGGCTAATAAAATGGATAAATTTTGAGGGCACCTGCCCTATACCTTATCAACATAAAACTTCATCTAGACATAAAGTACTGGCAAGAAGCGGTCAGTAGGCAGAAACAAGCCCGACTCTCTCCTTTCTTAGGAATATAAATCCACTTAAGATATAAAGTGAATGGCAAAAGATCACAATGCCGATCACCCGAAGAAATCCCAGGCAAAAGCACGCCACAACTGTCCTGAACAAGTAGCCTCACAGTCCTGAGCTGAGTCACACTTCCCATACCTGTGCCCACTCCATCCGACCCCCCGCGGCCTAGCTAAACCAATAATCCGAAATTAAACTCAGAATCGTTCCTTACCGGGAGACTAAACTCTCCCTCCACCCCTCCCCCTTACAGATCCCTCCCTCCCCGAAACTGGGGCTACGAGCGGGGAGGGGAGTCGCCTCAGAAAAGCTCGTCTTGCTTCTGGCCGCTGCCGTCTCTACTGAGGACCCCAGCATTCGGGGCAGAGGCCGGGATCCAGGCCCAGGGGAGTGGCAGGCCCCGTCCTCACAGCCCCCCAAAAAACCGGCCCCAGGTGAGAAGACGGAAGATCACTTACTAGTGGGAGCTCTGCCAAAAGTTCCCTGCCATGGAACTCAGCTTGCCCTGATAAAAAAGCACCAGCCGGCGGAGCGGCCCACGGAGCGACCATAGACCCAGCCCGTCCGGTAACCGCGCTCCTCGATCAAATCAGCTCGGCTCGGCTCCGCTCCGCGGCGGCGGCGGCGAAAGGAAGAGGATGGCCCCCTAGTCTCCTTGACGCCGGCCGACAACACTCAACTGTGCAAACTCGTTCCTATCGACAAAAGTTCCGGCCCGCTGTAGCGGAGGGAGCCGGCAGGGAGGCGTTGACCTGTGGGAGCGCTGAGGTGGAAGGGAACTAGTGATCGCGAGAGCTCGCGGCTCCGCGGCTGGAAAGCTCTCTGGAGAGCGTCTTGCCGGTTCTGGCCTAAGGCCCAAACCACTCGATCTCCTGTCCTCAGTACGGGAGTTGTTGAGTGGGTCTAACGTGGAGGAAGCAGCTTAGTTCGGGGGTTGTGTTATTACCTCTTCCAGTGCTTCAAAAACAGAACAATGGCATTATAATAAAGTATAAGATTTTGTGACTTTTTTTTCCTGTGATTGGAAAGAGGAATAAATGAAGATGACTTTGTTCTCGCTGATCAAGTGTCCTTTTTTAATGTTTACTTTACTTTTTTTTTCTTTTTTGAGACGGAGTCTTGCTCTTGTAGCCCAGGCCGGAGTGCAATGGCGTGATTTCGGCTCACTGCACCCTCTGCCTCTGGGGTTTAATCGATTCTCCTGCCTCAACCTCCCGAGTAGCCAGGATTATGGAAGCCCACCACCACGCCAGGCTAATTTTTGTATTTTTAGTGAAGACGGGGTTTCGCCATGTTGGCCAGGCTGGTCTCGAACTCCTGACCTCGAGATCCGCCCGCCTTGGCCTCCCAAAGTATTGGGATTACAGGCGTCAGCCACCACGCCCGGCCTGTTTTTTACCTTTGAGACTGTGGCTCTGTCACCCAGGCTGTAGTGCAGTGGCACAATCTCAGCTCACAGCAACATCCGCTTTCCGGGTTCAAGTGATTCATTCTGCTACCTCAGCCTCCCAAGTAGTTGGGATTACTGGCCCCCCAGCCACGCCCGCCTAATCTTTGTATTTTTAGTAGAATGGGGATTTCGCCAGGCTGGTCTGAAACTTCTGACCTCAGGTGATTCCGCCCTCCTCGGCCTCCCAAAACGCTGGGATTAACAGGCGTGAGCTACCAGGCCCGGCCTGGATCAAGCAATCTTAATGGAGTTCTTTTGGAGATATAAAGTGCAAATTTAGTAAGCAGCAGAACCACCAGTTTTGCAGAACATCTAAAAGCAGTCATGCATATATGTGCATGTATGCACCAAACAGGAACATACTGCAAAAATGTCGTAATTTAATTTTACAAGATTAATGTATTTTCCATTTCATTTTCATTGTACCAATGCATTTGTTGTAAAACTTCTAAGTTTTTTTCTAAATAATTGGACACTCCAGAAACTTGTTTTTTTTTTTTTTGAGACGGAGTTTCGCTCTTGTTACCCAGGCTGGAGTGCAATGGCGCGATCTCGGCTCACCGCAACCTCTGCCTCCTGGGTTCAGGCAATTCTCCTACCTCAGCCTCCTGAGTAGCTGGGATTACAGGCACGCGCCACCATGCCCAGCTAATTTTTTGTATTTTTAGTAGAGACGGGGTTTCACCATGTTGACCAGGATGGTCTCCATCTCTTGACTTCGTGATCCACCCGCCTGGGCCTCTCAAAGTGCTGGGATTACAGGCTTGAGCCACCGGGCCGGGCCAGAAACTTGTTTATAGATGATCAGCATCTGAGGCAACTAAAGACAGTAAATTTGTCACATTGTGGGTGGAGACCAATTAGGGTGTGGTAAAGTTAAGTATAATCGTTTTCCTAAATGAACAGAAAATACTAGGTAAATCTGAAATAGCAAGGATGTTATATTTAAATTTGGTTCAGTTATATATGTGTGCAAACACATATATATATACATACATAGTCAAGACGTGAAATGCATTTATTTGTATGTGAGAATTAGCCTACACCAGGCCCAGTGGCTCACGCCTGTAATCCCAGCATTTTGGGATGCTGAGGTGGGCAGATCACTTGAGGTCCAGGAGTTCGAGAACAGCCTGGCCAACATGGTGAAACTCCATCTCTATTAAAAATATAAAAAGTTAGCTGGCCATGGTGGTGTGTGCCTATAGTCCCAGCTACTTGGGAGGCTGAGGCACAAGCATCACTTGAGCCCAGGAGGCGGAGGTTGCGGTGAGCAGAGATTGTGCCACTGCACTCCAACCTGGAGTGAAACTCCAAATCAAAAAAAAAAGGAAAAAGAAAAAAGAATGAATTATTCTGGATAAGTTACACTAGGTGAAATTGTGGTAACACCTCCCTACCCCCACCCCAATCACCATAGCTTAATATAAAAGTATTTTACATGTCATATGTCACTCCCATAAAGTCCCATAAAGTCTGCTTGCTTTTCTTGGTGGTTGTCTTCCAGATCTTCAAGAATCTAATACATATCTTTCAATTACTCCATCTTGATGGTCTTTGCTTCTAGGCTTAAAATCTTTCTAGAGAAAGCACAGAGGACTCACACTAGCTTTACCCAGTGTTAAGGGCTTTGAAACAGAAACAACCCAGTCACCTTCTCTCATGGGCATTGACCAGAATAGACACATGCCTCCAATTTAACTGTGAAGAAAGCTGAAAAATGTAGAGGAGTGTGTAGCATACTTGATGAACACTTTGCATTACAGATCACAATAAAAATATTTAAAAGGCACTACCTTAAGAAACTCCAAGCAATGGGCTGTTTCACAGATTGAGGATTTCTTCAATTCTCTCAGTGTTTGTTTTGTTTTTGTCAGCCTGGCATCATCCAGAAGATAAGGATACTGCAACTAATTAGTATTACTAATGTTTTATTCTAAGCTATCCTATTACACTTTGTTTCTATCACTGGACTCGCACTTAATTTCTTTTTTTTTTTTTTTTTTTTTTTGAGACAGAGTCTCGCTGTGTCACCCAAGCTGTAGCACAGTGGTGCAATTTTGGCTCACTGCAACCTCTGCCTCCCATGTTCAAGCAATTCTCCTGCCTTACTTTCCCAAGTAGTGGGATTACAGATGCCCACCACCATGCCCACCTAATTTTTTTTTTGTATTTTTAGCAGAGATGGGATTTCACCATGTTGATCAGGTTGGTCTTGAACATCTGACCTCAGGTAATCTACCCACCTTGGCCTCCCAAAGTGCTAGTATTACAGGTGTAAGTCACCCGCCCTGCTACTTTGTTTTATACCTAATTCTGCACTCTTCTTCCTACAAAATAGTGAGCCCCTTCATCTTTGTATCTCCATTAGTTCAGGGTATAATGTGTAGTAGGCATAGCAAATAATGGTGTTTAAATCTCTTATAGAATTGGGGGTATGTGCTTTGATATAAGTTATGAATACAAAATTGTGTTGAAAAGTGAATACTATGTATAGAATACCAAAAGAGCCACAACAACTTACTAGAGCTGTGGAAGTTCAGGCCCCTTCCGTCTGTGAACAATTTTAAGCAATTTACCTTAAGTGCTACAAAGAGCCTCTTCCTGTTTGTGACCTGGTTTCTGCTGCCACCAAATGCCCAGCAGCTCCCAGTGCTCATGGGGGCTGTGCAAGTCACAGGCCTGGAGCTCAGGCTTCCTTAGTTTCAGAGTAAATTGCTTTTGAGGACATTTTATAAATGTAGTTTGAATTAAATTGACTTAAACCAAAAGCTAACTTCATTTAAGTATATCTCTAGTGGAATAGGGAAATGTACAAATCTGTTAAAATGCATAGACATCCCAGCTTACCTGAATGCAAAAAGATGCTGAGCTGTCTAGTAGATTTGTCCTTTTTTGCTGATGATTTTTTAAACTTTTCAAAATAATGTTGGGAGTATTGTTTTTCAGTCCTCATTACCCACTAATTTAAACTTGATGAAATAAATTAATGTTGTCCCTTCCAGTTTTCAACTTACCTTGTGCTTTTCAAACAGGGGTGTGTTCAATAAATTCTTTTTAAATTTTTTTTTATTTTTGTGGCTACATAGTAGGTATACATATTTTATGGGGTACATGAGATATTTTGATACAGGCATGCAATGAGTAATAATTACATCAGGGTAAATGGGTATCCATCATCTCAGGCATTTATTCTTTGTGTTACAAACAACCCAATTACACCCTTTTAGTTATTTTTAAATGTCAATAAATTCTTGATGCTAGTATTTACTCTCCTGTGACAAGAAAGTATTTATCCTTTTTCTTCTTACAGTGTTTTCTCCAGCAGAATGAATACTATTTCTAGGAAACTAGGGCCTAGAAGCTTAGTGGCTTTACCAAGCTCACTTAGTTAAGTAGTGGCAAGAGCAATTAAAGTCAGATTCTTTTGATTCACAGTGCAATAACTTTTTTACCCAACTAGACATCTTCAAGAAAACTACTATGACTAAACTACTATAAGCACATTATTCCAAGTTTGTAGCACAAATTTTTCTTCTCAAACACAATTATTGGCGATAGCCTCTCATTTTAATTAAATTATTATCATAATTATTTTGCTTTGGTATTAATAGTCCTTATTGTGAAAAACATCCTCTTTATTTAGTCATCCGCTGTACTTCCCTTTATTTTAGTTCTGGGATACCTGTATTTGTTAAAGATGAACACACTTCTAAATTATGGAAAAGTGTCTTTGTTTTGTGCTATAAGAGAATAGTACAGACTGGGTAATTTACAATTGTCAACCTAGATAACAAACAGAGAGAGGCTCTCTAAAAGAAAATGATCTTTATTCAGGGATAGAACATTGGAATAGGAGTATGTGCACCCTTAGTAAACTACATGGCATTTAGGGAGGTAAAGAAACACAAAGGTTTTTAAAGGAAAAATGAGAAGGATTACATAATTGTTTTGAAATAATTTAGCCATGGCTATAAGGTTCAATTACAAAGGT